TGAGGTATGATTAGGGTTAGTGTTAGGGTTAAGGTACACTTCTGTAGTACAAGTCTGGTACACTTTGTGTATACATATATGTACCTCGGGTACATATCTGTAGTACCTGATACGACAACGACCGCTTGAGCGTCACAAACATGATAACTCAACTTATAACTCTATACTGTACTTGTACTAACTGCTAACAACCTCTGTACTTGTAGTAGAGATAGTCACAAACGGTTCAACTTAAAAACATGAAGTTTCACATTTCAGTAAACTGACTAATAGTTCTAATCGTTTTAATTACTATAAAGAATATAATTATTCTGCTCTTATAACATATAGTACTGATGTGTATACTGAATCTATACTGAATCTAGATTTTCACAAAGTCAATGAATTTCGCAGAATGCATCTCAGAGCGTCTAAAATCAAAACCCAGATCCCCCCCCCCCCCTCCGAAAAAGGCAAAACTGTGCTGAGCGCCGCACTTCAGAAAACTAAGGGCTGGTAGATATTTTTAAGGGCTAGTAGATTTTACAGGTCACTAGCCCTGCTGGCTAGTGAACATTTTAGGTTAGTTTCAAGCCCTGCATTGGTAAGGCTTTGTAACATGTATCCCTCAGCAAGGTTTCACAATCATTAAGGCAACGTTTGCAACATGTATTCCTCAGCAGGGTTTCACACTCACTGGTACCGTATTCATTGGTAATTTTCCTCAGCAAGGTTTCACACTCACTTGTATTCATTAGTAAGGCTTTATTTGTAACATATATCCCTCAGCAAGGTTTCACGGTCACTGGTATATATTAGTAAGGCAACGTTTGTAAATTGTAACATATATCCCTCAGCAAGGTTTCACAGTCACAGGTATTCATTAGTAAGGCAACGTTAGTAACATGTATTCTTCAGTGAATATTCACAGTCAAGGAGATTTACGTGTAGGCGATTCGTTAAGTTCATGCTTCCATCTATTCGCGCGTCGTGAGCGAGCGTACTTTCCCGCGGCGCTGCGATGCCGTTTCGCAGCCGTAACGCGATCGCTGGCTCGCGGGCGATGGCTGATCGGTGACTTTGCTTGTTTTGCAGGCCCTGGAGTGGACGTGCCAGCGCCGGACATGGGTACCGGAGAGCGAGAGATGTCGTGGATGGCTAGTACATACGCCAAGACTATCGGTATGGCGTTGCTATTTGTTCAGTCGTCGGCTGCAGCACAAAACCGCACGGCTGTTAACGCGCTGTCACTTCCTTCTTGAATTTATTTGCTAAGCGTAATTTTTGGTTTTCGCTCGTCGTTCACGCGCGTCGTTTTGCGTGCGCGTGTGACTCTCGCGGCTTCATTGACCTTCTCTCACGTTGCATAGTGCATGTACGAGTAATCTCTCTAGTGTGTGAGATAACGACTGAGCACAGAAATTGACGAGTTCG